CTACGTCTAGTGTCAACCTGAATGGGTTCTTAAGAAAAATGCAATAAGCCAAATTTTGAGAAGGGTGAACTTGACATGATTCTTCTCATAGATGAGACTGACGTCTGTTCTAGTATCATTTTAAAACATCTTTCAGTGGTGGAGGATAAAATGAATACTAGTTGTCTTCCCTAAATGTGAACGAATGCGATTGGGTTCGTAATCACTTTGCCGTTATTACTGAGGACACAAAACGTTGACTATTACAAGAGGCAGAAGAGTTGAACGAACTTCAGGCTGATCGAACTTTGAAGCTCAAATTTAGCGAACAAACGTTGACTTCAGTTCTGGATGTTACTAAAAGAAGAGTTCTCAGTGCTATCGGAACATGCCATATCTGTACTGCTTTCGTTTACAACTACATATTTGTGCGAACAGGGATTTTCAGCACTCGCTAGGATCAAAAATAAGAAACGTGATTGACTTCTGTAGACGAACTTTCTGTAGACAAAGAATTGCGAATGTATCTGTCTGCTATCTGTCCGCGTTGAAAACCGTGCAGAAGTAAACAAGCCAATGTTTCCCATTGAACTGCAGCAATAGTGTAAAATTATCCTGAATTATATATTAATTACTTTTTTGTTTGTAGTACATGTATTTTCAATTCTCTAATATAAATAAATAGCAGTATTAAATTTTTAGTACACAAACCTGTTCTATATGTGCTCGGATTTCCCAATACTTTTCCTCGCAACACTCCAGAATTTTCGTAACGCATATAATTTTTTTTTTTTTTTTTACCGTTTGAAAATCAGTGGGTTAAACGTTTTTTTTTTTTTTTTTTTTCTGCTTGCCCAAGCATCTAGTTCTAGAAACAACCTGCAGGATTAGGGGTTGTCCTAACACGACGGTTTGCAAAATATTACAGTTCTCACAGATGAGATACGATATAAAAGATAAAAGCGGTTACCGGTTTTAAACCAGCAACATTTAGCGGCCTGAATCGTATTACAACTTGACGAAACTCAAACCGACTAGCAAACAAGCTGTAAAACCGCTGAACGTATTTAGATCAACCTAAGTTCAGTGCTCTGCGAAAAAACTAAGAATTTTCGTAACGGGGGTATAATGTGATTCCATGGATAAGATGAATTCGAGCTAGTTTTTCTTTAAAATTCCTGAGTTTCCTCATTTTTTTCTAAATCATCATACATTTGGATCTTTCTTCTCTCAATGACCAAAGTGCTAGAAATTTTACGATTTAATTAAATTAAAAATTGATTAAATTTAATTAATGTTTAAATTATAAAAATGAATCAAATTTATTAAATTTAATTAAATTATTAAATTAATTTTAATTTAATTTAATTCAATTTAATTTGGAATTTTTGGAATGCTGCTTAAATTTATTTTGGAAAACATTTTTTTTTTGTCTTGTATTTCGTCTTAATCCTGTGATAAATAATTCTTTTCAGATTCATTATTTAAGGAAACATGAGTATCCACTTTCATATACATCATTGATTTATTTTTACCGTCAGTCTCTTCAGATGATGAGATGATTTTTTCCATTATTTCATCAAACGTAATATATTAATAATCTTTTAAAATCTCAGAAATTAGATTTTAGACTTCAATACCTTTTACAGTTCTGTTAAAGTATGTTCGATACCGTATTGCGTAAAGATATTCAGTGTCTAGATATATAATACTGAAACAGTAGGCAGACAATATTGAATCCTGAATACGGCCAAATAAAGCTATATTGTAAAATTCAAAGTATGATAGTTATTTGCAGGTTGCAATAATGGAAATATTTACAGAGAACGTGACAGCAGTTTAAGTAATATATATACATACATACATATATATATATATATATATATATATCGAGAGAGAGGGGGTGATAGTACCTATTCAGACGAGCAATAATTATAGAACATAGGGTCGCATTCCACTGTGAGAGGCAGAAAAGAGGAATATTAGAATTCCAATCTGAATTTACAAGTGTGTGAAAATGCAAACGAGTAAACACCAGTGTTGGGAAAGCGAATGTACGAGACCAAAAGTTGCGCAATCAGATTTATTGTTTAGTTAAAAACTCACCGAAAGTGCTCAGATGCCGATCACGCGTGTCGTTGCACAGTTGACTTCGACGAAGGAACGACTGGCGCACCCTCTCGAAGATTCCTGGTATTGTGTTAATTTTGTCCGCGGCAACATCGATTCTCGCCACGAGATCTTCAGTGAGTCCACAGTCGTCTCATACACTAAGGATTTCATGTGACCTCAGAAGAAAATGTCCAGTGGGTTGAGGTACGGTGAGCGAGGATTCCAAGCCACAGGTCCGCCACGTCCGATCCATCTTGCGGGATATGCGGCATTCAAAAAGTTACGGGCTGTGACGGAAAGGTGTGCTGGGGCTCCATCGTACATAAACCACATGTTTCTCTGGATGGTGACCGGAACACCTGCTATAAACTGGGAAGCACATGTTCCAGGAAGATACAGTATGTTGCGCCAGTTAAGACGTCTGGGACGATGTAAAGGCCTACCAGGTAATCACCTAGGATACCTGCCCAGACGTTGGCGGAAAATTTCTGCTCGTGTTTATGAGAGGTAGTGCAGTGGAGATTACTGTCTGACTAAACATGTTGAATGTGCACATTGAAAATGCCTTAAAATGCCTGAAAATGTCTGACTAAACATGTTGAATGTGCACATTGAAATAGCTGAATCACTAAATAATATTAATGGGGAAATTCGTGGATCGTTATTCCTCATTCCAAGCATCCACTGCACAAAGCCTACCCGAGACAAGGATAATCATCTGTGCCCAAAGATTGCACTTTTTGTACATGGTAGGGGTGCATGCGTTCCTCGTGTAAAATACGCCACACCAACTGTGCTGAGAAATACCCATTTCGTATGGCACCCCTTCGCGTACTTTTGGAAGGAGCTGATTCAAATCTAGTTAAAACTCGCTGTTCCATTTCTGGCATTCGCGAACGTTCTGCATTGCTTTGTAAGATGGCAAATGAAGCGGTTTACAATAAACATAGGGTAAGGTTGGATGATTTGGAATCCGACGAATTGGAAACCGCTGTTCGTACAATCTTCGTGCTTCGCTTCCATTCCCTTTTGTTTCACCGGTGGTGGTGGTTGTGTATTTAATTATGGCAAAGCACACTAGGGCTATCTGCCTAAGGGGAGGGATGCCTTCGTGTAGGACTTTCTAAGGGAAACTGGCTCGTATATACGTTATACATGGGGAAAACCACGAAAATACCCATGCAGCCAGCACATTCGCGGGATTCGAACCTCGGACCGAACTACCAGTGTTCAGCGACTTTACCGCTTGGCCCCTGGTGGGCCTTTTGTTTCACCGTACGTGAAGTTAATATCTGCCAATTCCTCGTGCGTTTACTCCGCCATAGCATTCACGAAACGTTTCGGACGATGTTATCAAGGTAATACTTGAAGAGATGATGTTGTGTTGTTCACGATATTATCAAGGACGCTGTTTGCTCTGATTGGCTTTCTCCAGTACCAACTAAAAGCAAAATGCTGGTTCTTCTCAATGCAAATTTGCATATGGTTAATTCTTGATAGTCTTAGGAGACAATCTCCTTGTTCTTCTCAATGCGTTTCTACTTTCCTCTTTTCTGCCCCTCAGAGTAGAATGCGCCTCTATGTTCTATGGTAATTATTGCTCGTTTCGATGGGTACTATCATCCCTGTTAATTTCTAAAAACAATTTAGAATAACCTTGTATGTATATATATATATATATAGTATATTTAGAGTATTTTCAGGGCTTAAGGTTATCGAAAGAAAAAAATTCTTAAATTGCGGTTAATCCTGAGAGAAAATGTGCCTTTGGTGACTAAAAACATTACATCTTTCTTATTTCTTATTTTTGTTTTCTTTATTGGAATTTAGCAGTTAACTTAATAGTTTTCTTTTTGAATATGTAGAGTCAACTGTATTTTTACCTTTCCGAATCAGTGTAAAGCTTACGTAAATGGAGATTCCAGTTTTGTTTAAAAACAACTCAGAAAGCTTCCCTGACGAAACATTGAAATTATCAGAATTAGAGGAGTCAGTAAGAAAATGTAGATGCTTTTGTTTATTTAGAAGCGCATAACATTAAAGCAATTAAATGTTAAATTGATGTGAAAACAAAATTGAAAATATGCAATCTAACTGCATTTGATATATTTTAACTGCATTTGATAATGCAGTTATATTTTGGAAAGTTTATGAAATTTTGTAATTCTGTCAAATTGTGTCAGAAAGTTCGCCACTGTGATCAAAACCCCAAATTTAGTGATTTTTAAAAGTATCTGTAGAATATTAGCAGCTAATGTTATATAATATTAGCAGCTACTATTATATGTACTTTTATATGAGCAGATTCACAAGTAGTTTTTTGAAAATAATTGAGCGTTCAATTTTGGAAATTCTTCCTTGTAACAAAACCTTCAATTAATTTGTTTAATTATTAATCGAATTAAACTGATATTGAATGATGTGAAGAGTTTATTTTTATTCAGTGTTTTGATCTGGCTAGCAGGTTTATGGATTATTTCAGTCTGACATTAATGCAATTATTTTATTTTATCGACATCAGAATTAACATTAACGTATACCTTCATGTCATATGAGTCATTGAATGTCTTTTGATGATAACTGAGTTTTAAATGTAAAATTCAATTTCAACTTCTCAGTGCGAAAATAGGGTAATTCGTATAAATTTACACAGTTTTTGAAGGCAAAGTTTTAAAATATTTTACAATTTATACCTTTGCTAATAAAGAGATTTAGAGAATTTGTAATTAATGTATCATTTTGTTGATAGATGAGGGTGCGAGAAAGGAATATCTTTATTCATTCTTTACATCAACTTGCTAGAATATTATCATAGCATTTCGTTTGATTTATGATCGCAGTGTCTCAGTCATTTTCGCGTACACTTTATTCTTGTATACTAAGAGTCTTTTCATATATTTTATGTGTAGATGAGGCTGTGGAGAGCATGAGAGATCGTGTGCGGTTCCCTCGCACGAAACGTCGCCTTCCTCAGTGCATTATCATTGGCGTGCGAAAATGCGGAACCCGAGCTCTTTTGGAATTCCTCAATTTGCATCCATCCATTCAGAAAGCATCAGACGAGGTAATTGTTTGAGTAATAGCTTAGAATCAAAACTTTCACTAAGAGCACTGTTGTGGATCTAAAAGTGTGCGATTCATATTTCATTGTTAATTTTTAAATTTTTTAAAATTATTTTTAAGAAATATTATTGGAAAATAAATTATTGCTATATTTCCACACTCTGAATGAAGTTTAAAATTTTTATTATATTGCATTGCCTTTTTAATATTATTAAATGAAATTTTTCATCTGTGATTACTGGAATATTTGCATGTAATAATGTCATAAAATTCTTTCATTATTTATAGAGTTAAGAAATTATTAAATTTATATTACTGTTATTCATGTAGCTCTATAACATGCTAACATATTTTCGAAAAAAAATCAATGAAAGGAAAGGTATTTTATAAGCATTTCATAACTTTTTTATGTGGTGATACTCAAAATTTAGGATCCTGGATGCACCGGAGAACACACATTTTAATAAACTCATCAGTTATTCCTCGACTGAATTCAAACTGAATCTCATTGTGTGGAGGAGCTGTTTCGCTCGTTCACGTAATACGATTCGTCTGGTACACCTGAGTATTCCGAGCCAAGTGTTTTACCGATGGCAGCATGTAAAAAAATTAATTTGTTGAGCAGAGCGGGAATGCATTTGCGTAGGTTTCCAATGGAATTCTGCCAAATACGGAAACAGGTATACAGTGTCTACCTTTTAGCCTGTTTAAAAAACCTTTGAATGCTATCAACGTTTTCAGTAATCCTAGGGAAGATGTGGAAGACTGTGAATGTAACTACCGATCATATCATGTAAAATGGTGAGAAACTTCCGTAAGCTGTTGGGATTTTAAGAGCCAGCAGATAACAAATGATCCATAAAACAATCCCACTGTCAAGGATATCTGACAGTCCGTGTATAAAGACAAACAAATTCACAAAATTCGTGACACAAAATTCGATTATGAAGTAGATTATTATTGTTTAGTGCATGATAATGGAAGACTTGCTGGTTATACGTATGAAATAGCAGGTGATCTTATGATTGCTGCCGATAAAGACTCTCATCTGCTTAGCAAAGCCAAAATGAACGAAAAGGGGTCGGCATTTCTCGTTCTTTCCGCATATCAAGAATAATCATCTATGTGGAAGTTGAGAAATTGATTATGCAAGCAAAACTTCTGCAAAGATCGAATCAAAAAACAAGATCAGGATTTGGGAATTTTTATATTGCGAGGCTCAGCGTTCATACTGAATCTCGGCTTTGGATGGATAAGAGGCGGGAAGTGTTACGCAACAACGATACCGCCTCCAGACAATTAGCTCCTGCCTTTCGAATTGCTCGCCAAAACAGGAAGACTCGTCCTTTCTCACCTAACACAAATCCCTGATTTCTACTTCATTCCCGGTTACCTGAGTTGTCTTAAGGATAAGACATGTCACCTTTGCGTGGTGGTGGGAAATTAAAAATTTTAAAACATTTGGACTGAAGGATCATTGGCTTTTCTGCGCGAATGAGCTGAAAAATGCAACACGTAATTGACCTGAAAGATATCTCAAATAATGGCTTCCGAGTAGTAGTTCAAAAGGAACTTTACAAGCTGTTGAACAAGTTTAGTGATGCTACAGAAACTTATTATGAAGGTGGTTGTGCCTCACTGTAATAACTGTAATCACTGAAATGTAGTGGTTGTGCTTCACTGTAAAGATTTAGGACTACGGACCTAGTCTTCGAACTTATGGATCCTAACTCGTTTTACTGCAGTTCTTGAGTCTTTCTTTCGTCTAGTTTCCCACCATAGTTTATATCTGCAGATTTACTTTGAAATGTTCCATAACCTCTTTTCAGTTTAGCTTCTGAATCGACTGCGTTACTTTCACAAAATCTTAAGGAAGATTTTGTGAGTGATATACATATATCACTCTTTCAGTTTAACCATTCATCACTTAATTTAAAGAAATCTTTAGATTTTTTAAAATTGTATATTATATATTTAAACGGCAGAATTTCTTTCGATATTTTACTTCTTAGAAATCTTTAGATTTTTTAAAATTGTATATATATATTTAAACGGCAGAATTTCTTTCGATATTTTACTTCTTAGAAATCTTTAGATTTTTTAAAATTGTATATTATATATTTAAACGGCAGAATTTCTTTCGATATTTTACTTTCATAATACTTCATAGAATTTTCTTAGGAGATTTCTTCGGTATTTTTAAATTACCAAATTTCTTTTTCTTTTTTTTTTTTTTTTTTATTTTCTTACATATCATATCATTTGTGCTAAAACTTAAATATTATTAAAATTATTTAATACATTATTCTTCATTTATTTGCTTTTGTTCATTAAAAGTTTTATGGCAGTGAACTTGTTCATTGATCTTTTTGTACATTGGGATTCGTTTATTTTTTGTGCTTTGTTGCGAAAGGTATGCATGGTTTCCATAGTTAAATTATATGCGTAGTTTCCTTTGTACCTAATTATTGTTATGTTATAGTTTACTTTTAAATGAAAAAAACTATTTTAAAATGTCATACATAGCTTACCTTTTCACTGTAAAATTTAAAAACTCATGAAAAGATACAGTCCTATTGAAAAGCTTCATGTGTCTTCTAAAAAGGTAGAATTCCTTTTTGAATTGTATGTCTATGGTGTGAATTAGTAATTATTAACTGTATGTGTGTGATTTAAATTGGTCTTCTTTAACGCAGTTTTTCATTCTGTGAATGGATTACCTCTCAAGTGTTATAATCACATATTTCTTAGAAGTTTTTGTTATAGGTATGCAAGACATTGTGTAAAATAGAACTTTTGCATGCTTTTTTTTTTTTTTTTTTTTTTTTTGTCACTTTGGAAGGTAAATTAAATTGCACGCTCTTAGTTATTCAATCACTTTTCAGCTGATATTTTTGACTGCGTGCAATAGAAATTACATGTTACACATTTGATTTTTTCACAGATTTAATACACTGATTCGTGATAGGAAATTTTCATTTCATTATTATTTAGTTTTCCTCGGTAGAAGGAAATATCAAGTTTTAAAAAATGTATTGCAATAATCAAGTTGTTGCAGAAACTTAGTTTCTTATGATATGATACTAAAATACAATACTTTTTCATTTTTTGTTTAAGCACCTCGGAGGCTCACTCTGTGAGTGGGGTGGGACAATACCGAGGTACCCTAGCCCTTCAGGGGATCATTGTCTTGGTGAGACGGTATCTTGACACCGGAACCCTAGTGATCTTTCCCCTTTTGCTATTCCCCTCCTCTTCTCTACTGCTCTCAATTTTATTTTCACCCTTGTGGTTTCCCTCTTTGGAGTTTCGGGCTGGTGATCAGATGCTATTACAGCTCTTGTACCTACCTTCGAGTGGCGAGAAAACTGCCCAAGTGTTTGCCTTGCGTGGAGAGTCGTGTCATTGGAAAGGAGGGTCTTGGTAGTTGAGGGGCGAGGTACTGTCCCCAAGCACGTCGCTTTAGCCTCTACTTCAGCTAAACGGGAGGTACTTAGTTGCCTTCACTGGTACCAATCGGTGGTCTCCCAACCTTTATATCATCAGTTTGGGGATAAGCTAAGCCTACTATGGAGCTTCAGTTTGCGTAGAGGTCCGGCGATCCATAACACAAGAATCTGTTCCTTCATTCGGCTTCGTGGCGGGTGAGGCAGTCGCATCGGAATCTTTTTTATTTCAAACTTCAAATATAATATGATTAAACAACCGGAATCTAATCACGTCCTTCCAAATACTGAATCCGCCAAGGAGTCTAGTGTCAAAAATATACTTATAGATGCAAACGCTAATAAATCTAATAGCTGCTCACGTTTCCTTCTTGTATCAAGCCCGTCTGGAGAAATGCAAAAGTTATCTGTATTCTTAATTGATAAGTATAATTATTCTTCCATTGGTGAGCCAATAAATATAAAGCATCTCTGGACAGGAGGATTGCTTATCGGTATAACTTCTGCCATCCAGTCTGCTTCCCTTCTTCAGTTAGCCAAGCTTGTGAAAATTCATGTAACTATGTTCGCCGCATAAAATTTTGAACTTTTGTAGAGGCGTAATCTCGGAAGTCGACCTTCTGTTTGTTTCTGAAGAAGAGTGTCTCTATGCTGCCAGGCGGGTCAAGATGCATAAATAAGGTCAGTTGATCAACACGAAGCAAGTGATCCTGACCTTCAACCCGCCTGATTCGCCTAAGAGTATTAAGGTAATTAAGATAATTATCCCACAAGACCATATATTCCAAACTCGATGTGATGTTTTCAGTGCCAGTGTTTTGGTCACTCTAAAATTTGCCCTGGTAACTGGCGTGCGCATGTTGTTCGATGGACGGCCACGGTAGTGATACTTGTACCGCTACTCCGCTGTGCGTAGATTGCAAGAGTGAACATGCAGCTTTCTCAATTGTCCCAAATTGAAATCAGAAAGGGAAATTATGCTATGAAAGTTACGAGAAATATAGCTTACAGAGAAAATAAAGGGATAGTTGAAAGTAAGGTTCGGACATCCGGGCGGCTGTCAAAGACTGTTCAGGTATAGTACGGAACCCGAGACTATCTAGAGAAATACCCTCCCGACGTCCCACGAGGGCCGCACCGGCAGTGTTTTACAGTAAAATTTAGGTACGCATGTCCAAAAGGATATTTGAAAGCACTCATCCGCGATTAGGCATGTCTTTCGCTAGTGCTGCTAAATAAACTTCTTCCGTTGGAACTCAAACATGAGTTAGCGCCCAAACGTCAGTTAATACCCAAAAATCAGTCTATAAGTAATGTCAAACAAGATAAACCGACTTGAATACAGAAAAAAGAAACAGTAGTTCAAAGCAAATAAAATATATCCCTAAGATAGAAATTAGCAAACACAGATGTGGTAGCAATTGTTAATTTGGTGATATGATTTTGGTCTCTTTTGATTCATATGAAATGAAAGTAGAGGGAGAGTTAGAAATTCTCAAAAATTTACTTCCGCACAAAACCAAAAATGCATGACAAAGAACAAACATCACTCATA